TGTCTGGCCTGATTTGTTAGTAGGATGTACAGTGGGTCGTGAATGTGTGTGTGTGTGTGTGTGTGTGTGTGTGTGTGTGTGTGTGTGTGAAAGAGAGAGAGAGAGAAGCTTGACTCTACATACATTTAAATGTAATACTCAGTTTTATAGATCGTATTTTAGGGAGTTTTCCTTGTATTTATTGTATGGTGACTTTCTCAAGGAACCGAACAACTTACCATACGGGAGGTAATTGTGGTCTTTGATGCTTTCATCCCTGTGGTTCTGGATTTCAGGACTGAGTTTGGTACTCCTGCCAACCATATATTTTCCTTTGACTAACTCTGGTTTTAATAAGATATTGACTAAAGACACTTTTAAAAAAAAAAATCTGAATGTGTTTAGGTTAGGCAATTTATAGATAGCTGTGTTGTATAGTATTTTGGCTTAAAATAGTAACTAGATTTTATATAAAAACACCTTAAATTTTCCAGCCTAAAGCGCCATTCCATGTTCGTCTGCTCAGCCCCCAATCCCAATCCCCCTGCTAGCATTGTTCCAGGTGTGATTTTTACTTCCACACTGTTATCCCAGTCAGAGCTGCTAACCGAACATTGTTCCTTTTCTGATCCATTTTCATTTTGCCTAGCTATCCACTTTAATCCAAAATACCTGCCGGTAAAGGCATTATTGCAGGTTGGATTGTCACGTTCGTGTCAGTTTAGGAACCTAGCTTGAAACATGCCCCTTGACTTCGCTTTGAAGGGTTTGCCTCCCTGCTTGTCCCAGTCAATCTTGGGATTCTTTTTCATGTTTCTCATGGAGCAGCTTCTTGATTAGGGCTTTGTCTTAGAAATGTTTATCCAAATCTTTATTACTGGTTTACAACAACAGTACTTCGTGAATAAATAAGATGTATTCTAGCTTTAATTTTGCAAAAATACTTACATTCATTGCCACAGTGTAATAGCCAGCATATTAAAGTATAAGAATCCCTTACAGGATGCTGGAGGCTGTGGGAGACAATTGGTTTTTGAGTGGGTTAAACCAAGAAAACTAGTGCTTTTGCAGTTTCTGTTGCCATCCTCCAAATACTATGTTCTTAATGATACTACTGTAACTAAGCAATGAGATCAGGATAAACTTCTCTTTGCTAACTCCACGGAGATCAGCAATTCATTTGGCCTAGGATATGAAATTGTGATGTATTCATCCCTATGGTAATATCACAAGAATAAACATACATTAGTGCTATACACTAATACAACACATTTTTTCAATTATAGCATAGTTTTTTAATAAGCTAAAGTTAGAAGGCAATATTAGATCACCTGGTCTAACTTCCTGTATATCAGAGGCTGTTAAATTTCACCCCATCACTCCTGCATTGAGCCCAACAATTTGTGTTTGACTACAGCAGTGGTTCTCAACCTGCGGCAAATGTGACATCCTCAGGGCCATAGAGATAGCATTAGATGCGGCCCACGTAACACATTGTGGGACAAATACGTGGCCCACGATGGTAAATAGATTGAGAACCACGGGACTACAGCATAACTTGTGTTTAGCTAAAGCATGTCTTCCAGGAAGGCATCCTGTCTTAATCTGAAGACCTCAAGAGATGGAGACTCCATCACTTTCCTTGGTAGTTTGTTCCAGTGGCTAATTGCCCTCACTGTTAAAATTGTTTTTGCCTGGTTTCTAGTTTGAATCTGTCTGGCTTCAGCTTTGGTCTTTATTATGCCTTTCTACACTAGATTGAAGAATTCTTCAGCCCCTGGTATTTTCTCCTTGTGAAGGACACATACACTGTAATCAAAACATGTCTCACTCTTCTTTTTGATAAACTAAACAGTTTGAGCTCTGTCTCTCTGTAAGGCATTTTGAATAATGTTTGTGGCTCTTTTCTGCACCCTGTTCAATTTTTCAACATCTTGTTTAAAGTATTGTGCACAGTCTTTTGGTATCAGTCTTGCCAATGCCATATACACAGGTAAAATCACCTCCCTACTACTACTTTCCTGCTTGCATTAGTCCTTTTTGCCACAGCATCGCACTGGGAACTCATTTTGAATTACTTGTCCACTCTGATCCCTAAATCCTTTTCAGAGTCCCTGCTTTTCAGAATATAGTCCTTCATTCTATAGATCTGGCCTGCATTCCTTGTTCCTAGATGTAGAACTCTGCATTTGACTGTATTAAATCACATTTTGTTTAAATGGGCCCACGTTACCAAGCTATCCAGATCACTGTGTATTACTGCCCTTTCCTCATTATTTATCACTCCATCAATCTTTGTGTTATCTGCACCAGTCTGTGTTTCTGTTTCAAAGATTGAGAGGTAAGATCTGAGAGTCTGTTCTCTAGTTTGCCTCTAAGAGGGAGCTCTTGGCCTTCTAGGTCCGTGGTTCTCAACCTTTCCAGACTACTGTAGCTTTTCAGGAGGCTAATTTGGCTTGCATACCCCCAAGTTTCACCTCACTTAAAAACTGCTGGCTTACATAATCAGACCTAATACGAAAGTGTCACACCACACGATTACTGAAAAATTGCTTCCTTTCTCATTTTTACTATGTGATTATAAAATAAAATGAGATTTTAGTTTGTACTGACTTCGCTAATGCTTTTTATATAGCCTGTTGTGAAACTAGGCAAATATCTAGATGAGTTGATGGATCTCTGCGTACCCCTATGGGTACACATACCCTTGGTTGAGAACCACTGTTCTAGGTAAGTTTTCTTTCTCTAACTTTTGATTGCATACTTCTCCCACTGATTAAGTTCTTCAGATAATATTTTGCAAAAAAAGAGTGTATCCTTGGCATTTGTAAATTGTAGAAAAGCCAACTAAGGAGAAGCATTCTGTATTTACCAGTGCAATTGCTGTTCTTGGAAGTAATATAGTGGAGCAGATAGTCTTTTACAGGTGATAAAGAAAAGGTAAACATGAACAGAAGTCAACAAGTTGTATAGGAACTGAGGTAGCAGGATTAAGTATGGTTGCCATCTAGTGTTCAGAATTTGGCAACGGACTTTTATCTGTTTCCTGTTTTTGATTTACAGCCAACCCCAATGATTCTGTTGTCATGGGTCAAGATTTACCAATTTATGCTGCTGACATTGGAAGGAGAGTAATTACAGATTCTGGGCCATCATTTAGACCTGATAGTACGGTTAGTTATATTGAAAATTAATATATCATGTCTTTTAAAATAACCATACTACTTAAATTCAGCTGTTTTAGTATTTCCTAAACCTTTTTTATTAACTTGAAATATGAATTTGAAGGTGACCTGCAAAGTGTTTTGTTGGGGCCGGGGAGAGTTATTTTTACCATAATTTTGTTGCTTTATGATGTGTAAAACACACATGCCATTCTGCTTCTTTTTTCAGTAGAAATTCAGTCTTGTTTACCCTTTATTTCTTGCAAGTTTTCATAGACTACTAGAGAAGTGGTGTGACTATTATGAGTTTCTGAGCAACTGGTGGATAAAAGGGTTTTAAGTCATTTAAACCTGTTTTGTTAACACTTTAAAAAAGATAGCAGCAAAATCTTTGAAATATTCAAATATCTTGTCCCTTTCAGTTCAGGACTAAGAAAGCACTTATTCCAGCTTTCCTGGTCTTCTAAGGATTTGTCCAGTAAAAACAGGGGAGAGAACTTTGTATCCCTGATATTTTTACAATTTAAAACAAAGCAAAATTTCTAAAAAATAAAATACACCTTTTCAGGCCCCATTTATATGACATAAAGAAGCAAAAAAGGGCACAAACCCAGCAATCTTCCTTTGCATGTCACCTATAAAATAAGCATGGAGGCTTTCCTATACTGCACTTCTGTTCCTCTGAGATCTGCTCTTTTATTATTGAAGTGGATCTGTGATGAGAAATAGCCAAATCTGAGCACCAGTAGATCACCTGGTTTACATGGTGTATGATCTATATACAGTTCTGGGAAGCAATATAATGGTTCCTGAGAATGTGGTTGTGTGCAGTGTGGGGGGTTGTGTGCGGGGGAGGGGTGTGTGTGTGTGTGTGTGTGTGTATGTATGCATGCATGTGAGGAAATTTTTGTACTGAGCAATGATGAACCTTTATTTTGTCTGACTCTTCAAATAATGAAGGTTTCTACACTTGAACTGAGCTCAAAATTAAGTATTTGTATTTTAAATAATTTGTCTTGTCCATACGCAATACTATAGTCATATTTTCTTGACCCTAGGTAGCACTTTCTAAAGGATGGACAACCAGTTTTGCTCCACAGGCTTGTGCACGAGAGACAGCCTGTGATTATTTGTCTTCAACAACAATTTCCACTGGCAGTTTTTTAACCAGTGAAAAGTTGGACCTAAGCCCTGCTAACACTGGTAAATATTTTTTTTCTTATAAACTGGATTTTATTTACAATATTATAAAGGAAAATGAATCTAATACTTTGACATTACTGAGTTCTTCTGAAAGAAGATTGATTAATGTGAAACTTGACTTAAGCCTTGTTAATGTTGTCCTCTGAAATAGAGCATAAATAAAATGTAATGCATGTTCTATGGTTGTAGCTTTATTTGACTTTCAAGTAAGTTAAACATATTAGCATGTTAACTACAACTACAGTAGTTTTGGCAAATGGCAACTGATGTTACAAGTACTGTTGTGTGAAATACCTCAGGTTTTCAAGTTGGCAAAATTGAAAAAAGAAAATAAACTATAAATTGTTGGGATTTTTTTTCTGAATAGCCATGTCTGAAATGTTTAATTAGCACATACAGTAAGTCTTCGCTCTTCTACAACTATCTATGAGTTTCAGTATTGACTGTTTGTCTGAACAGTGATCACAAACTTCAGATGTTTTTTCATAGTATACACTTTGTAGCAAGCCTTAGAGGTATGGTTTTATCAGGTCTGATACAGAATTTTAATTCCTCGTTTTATATGTTCTTAATTTTCTGGGAAAATCTCATTTGGGGAAGAAATTCCATGGTCTTCAGTTAATGTGAATGTGAACGATATACGTCAGATATTTTCCTCAATATTCTAGATATGACAAGTTAGGAAACATAAAACATGCACATGGGTGTGACCAAGTTAGCATTATGACTAACTTTTCTTTACTCTTTTTGAATACACTCTTCTGATTAAAGATTTCTCAAATATTTAATAACGCTTTTACCTGTCATGTTATGTAAATTTTTTAAATGGCAAACTAGCACTGCCCTACATAATGAGTGTTTAAGGATACATTAAAAAAATTGAGAGGCGCCCAGATGCTGCGGACCATATATGTACCTGAGAGAGAGAGGGTAAAGATCTTCATCCTTTGAAGTTGCTAAGCTCCATCGAGCATTATTTAATTAGGTATTGTCAATGTAGATTTATAGAAATTGCTGTTAAGTTTTGCATGGGAGAGAATTGTGATAGAAGACGTTTTTAAAAAAATCTTCAGTTTACATTGTTTCAAGGTTTATGCTGTCAAACAAAAGTTCATTTTCAGACAAGTTCACTTAAGTGGCCTATTTGCAAAACTGGGTGTCAGACTTATGGTTTATCTTCCAGAGTTGTCTTCAAATAGTGCCGAGGATAGGATATTGAGAGAAACAGCAAGCAGCCCTTGGGACTCTTCTGCATCTCCAACACCTACCACTGCTCAGCAGAGGCAAGAGAATTCTTCTGAAGTTTCTGAATTTCATCTGCCTGCAGAAGAGAATTTTATCTCTAATAGAAGTCAAATTCAGCAGATCATAGACAAATATACGAAAGATTTGAACTGGTTACCTGAAAACACTATATCTTTCCATGGTAATAACCTGTTTAGAATATGGAGACAATACAAGAACTAGAAGTATACTGTGAAAAGGAGTTTAACAAGATCATGCATTTAATCTGTATTCAAATTTTAATTATATTTTGTTAATCACTAGATAACATACATGTTGATGTTCCCTGTTCTGCTGATATTCTGCACCCTGTGGCCAAATGCCAAAAAGATCAGAGGCCCAATTATATAGGCAGTTGCATACGTGCGACTCCCATTGGCTTCAGAGGAAGTTGTACCTGTGCAGCTGGTAGGATAATTGGGTGGTTTCAAGATATTTTTTACCCTTGATTTATCTCAGTCTGTAGTGGAAAACACACACATGCACAGCTAACAGTAAATGCTAAATAAATATTAGTATTTTAAACCAAATCTGTTAAAGAAAATGAGATGTAATTTATATAGCATTTATTTATATACCCTTGACATTTTTGTTAATACTCTGTGCCTTCAAATTAGAAGACTGTGCATGAAAGTATAACAATATGGTCATGAATTACTACTTAGTGTTTAGCTTCAGCATTTTAATTTGTCACTGTCCTGGAATACTTGAAAACAATTTTAGTTTTTACTTTGAGTTGACTCAGCACAACATGTTGGGGTATTGTATACACATGCATCACTTCAGAGATACAGTGATGTAGATAGCCTGTTTTAACACAAAATACTTGCAAAAACTATTTATAAACTTTTTAAGTCTTATGCATTACATTTATAGCACCTGAGCTGTAGATGCCAGGTTTGCATTTTTTAAAAATAAATTTTCCACTTTTTTTTAAAGCTCCAGCAGTTGGACTCGATTTTTCTGATATGGAAAGAAATTTCCCTAACTTTCAACGTCAGGTTTTTCAGCCTTTGGAACCAAGTCCTGACTTTGATATCTCATCATCCCTTTCTCAACATAGGATTTCTGAAGACAGCAAAGATTTTAGCAAGGTATTACACACAGTTTTGAAATAAGGGAACTCATGCAATTTATGTAAGGTTACAATGTTGTGTGATTAGAAACTTAATCTTTTGACATTTACAGAAAATATAATGGCAAGTTTGTGTTTTTAATCTAGAACTGACCAGTAGTTCACTTCACAATAATTTGCCTTTTGTGATAGAAATGGATCTGAAAGAAAAGTTTAAAAATTACTGTTGCAGTTTTTCTCTTGTATTATATTTGAGAATATTTAACCATGATCAATAACTAAACTCTTTGCCATGATTCTTCTGCCACTAGAGTTTCGCTTTCTCAATCCAAAGTCAAGACACATCTGTATTTCCTGAAGCCACAACCTCTAGCTTGAAAGCAAGAAGTTACAATCTGCATTCTTTTCTTAATACAAAGAAGCTAAACAATACTACATCACAAGCAGAGGAGTCAATGAAGGAAAATGTTACTCTGGGTATGGATCTGTTTTTAATGTCTAAACGTGAAGATTTATAGTTGTTTGGTCCCCTGCAGTTGTGTTCTCTTGAAGTTAGTGAGACACTGCTAACTGTTCGTTATATACTCTGTCTTCTCTGCAATGTCATAGCTTAGCTCTTACTTTGTGCCCCCACTGCTATTGAACAAGACTGTGTCCACAGACCTGGTTCCTTAGCTTTTCTGCTGTTGGGTGACATTCCCAGGAATTACACAGTCCAGTTCTTTGTCTTCCCAATTATTAAAATTGACTGTTGACTTTGGTATACATTTCCTTTGAGAGCATATGTAATTTTAATATTCGGGCCACTCTGTAATGTATAGATACTGCTTATTTATTGATGGTGCCTTCAGCCAAAAGGAAAAAATATGCTGTTCACTTTTTAAAGCTGTGGGCACCGATTCTGTCAAACTCCCCTTGCTGTCTCTGGGTATTGCAGAGATCCAAATGCAGAATGTATGATGCTCAATATCTAGACATAATAGTGATTTAAGGATAGAGTTTAAATTTGTAATTTTAGCTTAAATCATTAATTTTTCTTAATCCTTGTAAATTCCCTCTCTCCAAAACCAATTATTTCATGTACTGAAAATACAAGAAATAAAATTGTGACATGCATTACTATGGGCACTTTTAAGATAGATCAAATTTCAGGTCTGTCATCTGAAGTCTTTTTTTAAGCAATGACTAATCTCAAAGTATGAGTTGTTCCTGTGGACTTCAGTTCTTTTGCTGCTGCTGTTCACCATGGGATGATGCCTTAGTCAAGTAAAACTACAGATGTTTTGCTTGTGTTAAGGTTTGCAGGATTTGGCTATAGGGAAATATTTTGAAAGTTGTCTGCATATCACAAAGTCTATATTTGTGTATGACGTGCCTGCTTATCAATGATTTCTTATCATTACCATATTTAGAGACATGTATATTTGGAAGAATGCTTATCTGCTAACTTCCAAATATTGTCAGTTAAAAAAAAACCCTAGAATCAAAACCTCTTATTAGATAGATATAATCCCATTGCTGTAGTATCTGAGTGCCTCCTTAAGTATAACTTGTTTTGTATGTGTAGATCTTAAGGGAAATCCAAGTGAGAAGAACCACCTGCTGTAATTGGCCTTTATAAGAAAGAACAGGCTGTGTTCTGATTTTTTTCTACTATTAATGTATACAGCACCAGTAATGATTTTGCTTTGCTTCCTTTAGAGACGCTGTCAGAGAGGCGTTTGAAATGCTAAGGCTTTCTACCTGAGAATGGTTTCCAAGGGCCAAATTCTCTGCTTGGTGCAGCTCTGTTGACTTCAGTGTAGTTGTGCCTGCTTACACCAGCAGAGAATATGGTCCTAAACATTAAAGAAAAAAAGACCAGTTACTATGTCAAGAAATATAAAGCTATTAGAGATTGTGTTTAAAAGAAGCTAAAATTATTTTGTGTAAAATAACTATTTTTAAATGAAGATACTTTCCTGATTAATACTCCGTTTTTTATTATTTGGATATTTTGCTATCTAGGAAGAATTTCATTCTAATTCACCAAATTGACATAAAAAACACCATCATATCTTAATAAATGTGAATGTACTGGAATTAAATTACTGTATTTAAAACATTGTTGCCTATTTTACTATGCTTTTCTTAAATGCATAAATAATTACTTCCTTTTTGTAAACTCTACTGTATGTATTTAGACTTTTCTGACAGTCTGACTTTTTTCAAGCAGGTTCTGAAGAATCTTTTCACCCTCTTCAGTTGGAATCTACCCTGAATGAGCACAGCCAGAGTACTGCACAACCAATAGGTCTTCGCATTGTATTTGAACACAATTCTAAAATTAAAAAATCAGAGAATGAGAACTACGTTTCACCTGTTGGAAACCAATATGAGGGGCTGGCGAGAAATATAGAGAATACTAATCTCCAGTCTTCAGTGGAAAACCTGCGGAGTCCAACGCTGAGTTCATCAGAAGAACTGGGTTCATTTTATCAGCTAATTACAACACAGATTACAGAAAATGAGACTCTCCTGACTGAACATTCAGTAAAAGAAGTTGCGGAACTGAGAAAAGAGAACTTGTGCTTTGAAGAATTACCTGTTGTGACACCAAATAAGCACAGGGAGCTTACTGAAACCCCAGTTCTTAGCAATGAAGCAAATAGGATTGTGGAAGGTGACCATTCACAGTGCAGTACAAATATATTGGAGGAAGAACAAAGCATTCTAGAAGTACAGATGTCCTCTAGAATGCCTAGAGCAGTAGACTCAGAAATCTACATCAACCCTTCACAAGCAACTAGACAACAAAATGGTGGTTTGCCAGAAATACCCCAAAACCAAAATTCTAATTCAGTGCTCACAATAAGTTCAGGGTCACATTCCTTACAAAGCCGTGTGCCAGTCTGGGTGAGTGAAATAAAGGTTTCACAAGGTAATTGTTAGTGAGTTAAATGCCATTCAGATTTCAACCAATTGCTCCAAGCTATTTTAGACCTTTTGTAATTGGAAAATTTAGCAAAGTTCACTTTACAGTTTTAGTTGGAGACTTCTCAAAACTTGTGTAATTTAATCTGAAATTATGCTGATTCTCGTCATTTTAGGTCTAGATTTTAATTGAGAAAAGGCTAGCAGTTATGGTAAAGGAAGATGCAGTTAAAATGCTTAATTTAGGAAAACAGCAAAGCTGTGTTATAAATGCTGTTCCCTTAAGGATCAAACAAAAGCTACTATTGTTTGCCAAGAATTAGCTTTCAGGCTGTGACTAGAATTCCGGTTTAGAGGAAGGGTGGAAGGGAGGTTTTGTACAATGGCAAATTAAATATTTAGGTTGGACTGAGCTCCTTTGGAGGAGTTCTAAGTACATCAATAAATGTGGGAAGAGCACTTTGCCTGAGGTATTTCTTTCACTGCCTGGGGCACATTTTCTTTATCTGTATGTTGAACAATTCTTTCCTTTGTAACAGGCTAACAAATGTTGCTGTTGCTAGAAATATTGATTTTTACCTTGATGTTGTCTTCTCTGTTTTCTAGGAGACAGAGTCAGGGCATGGGATTATGGAAGAACCTGAACTGACTCTGATAAGCTCAAATGACATCAGTGTTGCAGAATCAGACTCGGAACACATTAGCCAAGAGAAAAAAAGAAAAATAAGTTGGATAGCCTGGCATATGCTGGCCAGTCTGAACTTAAAAGTTGTTCTGAGGTAAATCTTGATGATCTCTCATCATTTTGAGCCTGGTACTACTGATTTTTTGCTTTAGTAAGAATAAGAAGATACTTGGTAATTTTAAAGCATGTAATACAATATTGTAGATCACTAGCATGTTTTGGGTTCTCCAGATTTGCAAATATTTGAGCCATTTGGTGGTAATGCCATGTCTGGTGGGTTGGGCGGATGCAGAGAACTGAAATCTATTCTGCTTCCTTCACTCTGTCCTTTGCCTTACCCCAGTAGCTTAGTTGAGATGGAGTACTCCAAAGTTCACACTGTCAGAAGAACAGACATGTCCTGCTGTAGTTAGTAAGGCAGAGCAAAAAGAAGAACAGGAGGACTTGTGGCACCTTAGAGACTAACAAATTTATTAGAGCATAAGCTTTCGTGGACTACAGCCCACTTCTTCGGATGCATAT